TTCTCTCAGTGATAAGTGTTACTGGGTTCTTTTACGTGCGTTAAGCCTTATACAACACACAAGACCTCCAGCTTAACGTCCTATCCGAAGAATGAAGCAATAATGGTTAAGTGCCTTGCTCAAGGGCACAAGTGTTCGGGCCCGGGCTCCAACCCATGCCACTGTTGCCTCTGAAACACCAGAGCATGAGTCCAGTGCTCTTAACTGCTAGGCCATGACTATTCTGTCATCTACATGTAGGACTGAAAGTTCCAAAGTTAGGATTCATACTCTTTGCAGTGATACAAACATTGTATAAAATGTCTTTAAAAAATGAATACCGGTATTTGCATGTTTCAGGTGTTGTGTGCCCTCTGGGTGTCGGGGTGCAGCACGTTTGGCCCAAACTTATTGATGGAAACTGCAGAATATCGAAAGTCATCGGTCCCGGTTACAAGAGGATCCCGTGTCAAGTTGGTAAGATTTGGCCTCGTTTGAAATTCAAACAGAATGCAATATCCTGATGGCTTTTTTCCCACTGTTTATAAACTCAATGATTGGCAGTCATTGCAAAGTGAACATGGTGAAGAAAAAAAAAGATTTTGAACTGAACTAACATCATTTGTGATGCACTCAAGAGTCGATTGTCGTCCCCGGCCAAATTTTATTTTATTTCAGATTTTATTTCAGCTTCCTCCATCAGGTAAAGATATGAAAACATTGTTGTAATTTGTTTCGCTATGGCACTGAGCAGTTTCTGTTGAGTTTACGTCGTTATAGCTGTTACATGTAAGCTAAAATATGGCCCATGAACATGAACACAAAAAAGTCTGGAAAAAATCGCCGAAAGAAAGTCACAAAATTGGAGCATTTTAACTGTTTATTTTGTTAAAAGGTATTTATTAATGGGAATAACAGTGTGAGGATCCGGTCTTCACTGCGTGATAATGACCGGGTGTGGGGGTGACCGCTGTTAATGGACCGAGACGGAAAATGTGATGGGAAATGTATAAAACTTAAGATTAAAATCAGATGATTTACAATTATTGTTTGGGTTTTTTTTGGTTCAATTAAGTATACAATGAAAATTGTCCTACTTAAATGTAGTACTTAAACAAACCAAATTCAGATCTTTTTTTACTCTTTGCATAGTATTGCATCATGTGTAAATGATGACCAATGTGCAAGTGAACATCTGCGTCACATTAACCAATATGCGCTATGCGCGTGCCAATCTCGTGAATACTCACGAGATAGAGATACCATAGGGGGCTGTTTAAAGCCCGAGTCCATCATTTGCAGCTATCCAAAAAAGTAACCGGCGTAATTATTCTTGAAAAACATACTGGTTGGAAGATACATGTAGTAAGGGGACTAAACTCCCTGTGAAATTATCCTTTCTGGCAAGCTCTCATTTTGAAGAAATCAACGAAAGAAGGCATTTCCAACGTTGCTTCTTAAGAAGCACCGTAGGAAAATTTAAATTAGTTCTTCGTTTTGTTATTCGGCGCAGCGCGCACAAGTAATGGAACGACGCACAGGCGCGCGCGGTTGCTATAATTCGTTGGATCAGTGCGCAACATTGGTAAAGCTGCAATTCAAAACAATTCGAAACATGATTTAGCAACTTTGATTTGAAATTGAGATCCTAGAATGCTGTTTTTCTCGGAATATGAAGCTGAAGCTGAGCTAAAACTTCATCAAGTAAGTTGTTCAGTATCCTTCATTAGATTTTGAACACTTTTGTTGCTTCAAATGAACAAAATGCACTAATTACAAATGATGAACTATAGCTTTAAATAAACTTGAAGTAAAATTGTTAAACAAAATCGTTGGAAATTTGTAATTTGTTTGTTGATTGACTTTTTAACCCAAAACGTGTTTACGAATGGGAATAAACATGTGCTGGCCTTCAGCTCAGGCTTAAACGGACTTGTTTAAAACCAGCCAAGGACATACATGTATTTATTCCCTTATTATTAGACAGTCACTTAAATTGGTGTATCTGCAAACTGTCTCTTATTGTACTCGCAAGTTTTACTCGCAACTACGCTTTAAGCCTTGACAATTACAAAAGCGTACGGAATTCAGAAAAATGTTAATGTGTTGTTGCTCATTATATTTTGTATTTCAATTTCATCTTGAGCAGCTCATGGAGGCTTAGCCGGTTAGCCATCACGTCCAGTCTGGTCACCATGGCAACTGAACAACCTCAAGCCCCACCTCCAGTAACATCTAGGGAGTAGCATCTGGGCTTATACACCAGGTAAGCTAGTTATTATCACTAGTTAGACAGTCTACCAACAAGTAAATTATAGTGTGTAAAACTTTATAAATTATTTGTTGGTACATGTAGACTGTGAATAGAATGTACGTTACCTTGTGACTTTTAAATGAGATACATTGTTATGTTCACACAAGAACAGAACCATGCGGACAAATGGCGACAAATTGACTAAGAGCAGGCCACATGGCCAAATAATCTGTTCCTATTGGCCAAAAGTTTCACATTTTAAGCCACCAACAGATGGCAGCATTGCATTATTTTGGACTTGAACAAAATACTACTCACTCCAGTAGTAACCTGTAGTATGCATTTCTTTCCATACAAGTGTGCACAACACATGTAGTATTCTGTGGTATGGGGTCCTTGACCCCCAAAGTGCCCTTAGGGTTAATATTGATACCATGAGCACACACACCAAAACCAAAATCAACATTTGTTCCTTGTACAAATACGATTTTAAGCTCTTAAAAAAAAATGACATGATACAATGTACGTATGATTCAATACAGGCATGCGGTTTCAAGCATGACTTACAAGATCCGGCTATTTCACTATTTTGAAGTAAACAATCTCAAACAATGGTTAATTGGACGAGTGACTATTTTCAATGTGAAATAAAAACATATCAGGAAATGAGTTTTCTCCTTGATATTATATATAGCGCATATATACAGCCAAAAGAATCTTTAAAAATTCATTAGAGAACAGATAGGAACGTTGAAAAGTACAGTAATATTGATGTGTTTAAAAAGGAAAAGCTGTAAAAACAATTATTGCTTAAGGAGTAACAAGCTTGACGAGAATGGAGTAAGATCCACAATAAACAATGATAATTAATAATAATAATTGTGCTTATATAGCGCTTTCCATCGTATCAACAATCTCAAAGCGCTTTACAATTATTACCCCGTTCACCAGACCATTGGACCACAATGCCGATATCAGCGCTCAATCGGTCCTTGACCCTCACAGGTACCCATTTGTACTCCTGGGTGGAGAGAGGCAATTGTAGTTGAGTGCCTTTCCCAAGGGCACAAACACCATGTTCCTGGCAGGGTTCCTGGTTAGTACCTTCATACACAAGTCAAACACCGTAACCACTGGACCATGGCATTCTACGTAACCACTGGACCACGGTGTTCTACGCCATTATGTATTATCTATTATGTATTTCATTGATGAATCCCCAAATAACATCCAATTGCTTCATGAACAGGAGTGTATAAACGTATAAAAGTCCCTTTAATGCAGAAATATGCAAACCATATCATTTTCTAAAAACATAAAATATAAACAACTACCGGTAACTACGACATTAACAACACAAATCTACACCCTAACAGCTTTCTCTGCAAAATATAACGCAGACTCGCTTTCCTGAAAAATTGTAAGAATTGAAAAGTATGATATACCACAAAATATGGCATACTTGTAAATTGTGGTTTCGTTTCATTCTATTTAAGGCTTGGTTTATTTATAAGGTCTATGGTGCACGCAACACATACTGACACGGATATACTTATTAAGCGCCTAATTTACATTTGCTTGTAAGTGTCATAAACAAATAAGTCATTCTGCCCTTGAACTAGCTACAATTGAAATACTAATAACATTAAGATTAAGAAATCAAAATTTTTAGATTAACAACCACGCACGAACGTCTTAAACAGGAATTGAAAAGGACACTAATGCTTCCAAACTTATTACAAAGAGGAATGTAGCGATTAGGCCTGTGTACATGTATTTCATTGATGAATCCTGGAGTGTATCCCTTTATTGCAGAAATATGGACCACTTAACGCAAACCATATTTTTTTCTGAAAAAATAAAATTGTACCGTAATCCTGGCACAAGGAGAATGGATACAATATTCTGTTTATGATATAATTATTTTTAAAAAATGTAAATGAAACAAAATCTTGCCTTCAGTTTTGTTTACAATTAAACTCCTGCTACGGAATCTTGAATTCGGCTGTGATTTCAGTTCCTCAATCCCGGAAGAAACAGTTAGATTAATTTGATCCTAAAAATGCCTAAAAACTACATGTACGTAGAGTGTACTTACTGTGATGTATACACTTACATTATTGCCAATCGTGTAATCTGGTATCCGAGTTACCTCGGATACAGGTAACTTAATAACTACATTTTTGATATAAGGCCCCCCAAAAATAGTTCTGCTTCCGATTACATGGCAATTGACAATAGGGTAGGTAGGTAGGGAAATAATTTTTTTGGCCCATTTTTTTTGTATGGAGGCGTCTGCATGTCGTCAAGGGTAAAAGGTAGAAATTAATGGTTTTGGGTGATTTTTCCCTCATTTTTCCCATAAAAAAATTAGGGTAGGGGCTGTCAGAATAGGGTAGGTAGGGAAACCGGAAGCAGAACTATAATTGTTTTGGCCTACATTGTAAATGAGAAAACAGGAAAAGTAACTACAAATTGTATGACATTTTCTTCACATGTTCATGTGTAACTGGGCTGCTTCATGTATTGGATACACTGCATAGTCCATGTTATAATTATCTCTTAAACGACTTCATTGAAAATTATTTGTCACGTCGCTGTCATGACTTAAACTCTACTTAAGCATATATCGCTAGTTTACATTTGGTACACAAATGTCTCAGCAAAAGACAAATTGCCTGGAGCTTCATGTAATGTCCCAAATTGTAAAGATTCATGATAAGGTCAATTTGATTTTGTTCATGGATTCAATCCAAAGAGTCTGCGCTTAGAACTTTTCAAAGTCTGATCCACCTGTGACCGACATTTTGTAGACGCTCTTCTGGCAGGTTTCCAATGATATGCATTCCTAAGTTCAGAAAAGAAAGAGTAAGAAATGGAAGGGTTTAAAACTTCATCCACTTATCCCATGTTGTCTTATAGGTCTGACTTATGTTCCCCGTTAGTATCAAACCCTCAGCGTTTAAAATGTAATATGCCGCTTGCAGTGTCACATTGCTGGTATGAAATAACTCTTAAGAAGTGTAAATAGCCAATGAAAACCAACGAATTGAAACCTCACATGGGTCAGCCACACACGACCCAAGTCTAAAAATACAATTGACAGGTAAAGTGGAAGCCAGGCCACCTCATAATAATCATTTCATTTTGTTCAATACATGTCTGTATAGGGATATCACATTTTGCAACACATGCCAACTTTGACACGAGCCAGTAACAAAACAAAAAATATTATACCCCCAATTTTTAAATATTTTGTAGAAAACGTGTGAAAGTTTTAATTTTCATCAAAGTTTGTCTCAAGTTCCCTTGATCCACAAGGTCAAATTCAAGTTCAAAATAAAGGTCAAAAGGTCACCATCCTTCAAATTACTCCGACATGAAAAGTAATGGTAAATTTGAATTCCTTATGATGTTACCTTTCCAAAGCAACCACGGCCAACAAAGTTGGCTCACAGGTTATGGAAATATGGTCATTTGAAAATTAGCGGCCACGCCCATTTTGACCAAAATTGCCAAACAATGGTGGGCGGTCGCGCGAAAACCGTTCGTCGGATGGCGCTAAAACTTAAAATTTCAGCTTTTTCAGCCTAAATTACCCCATATACATGTACTAAATACAATGTATGAGCAATTTTGAAGGGGATGGGGTTTAACCCATTGGGTGATTTGACACTAGTGATGACCCGAGACACTAGAATGACCCTATTGAATAATTGATGCAAAAACAATAATGACAACCTGGAAAATCTGATGCTTATCATTTTCATCCGACCCAATCCTTAATTTGTCGGTTACAGTCAAAACCAGGACCCTCTTGAAATAATCATTGGGTGTTTAATAGGCCTACTCACGTTAGCTTTGTCCAACAGTCCTCCAAGTTTCTCACTGACTGTTGCAAATGTTGGTCGGGCTGCCGGGTTCTTAGACCAGCAAGCACGCATCACCTGGTACCTGAGAAAACAAATGGGCATTACTGAGTTGTTATTTTGCCCAATGTTGATCAATAAATCAAATTCTTCTCAATAGTTGGTCAATTTTTACCCGAAATAACCAACAATAATTATGGTAACTTTCTACCAATGGTAACTTCCTATCAATGGTAATTTCCTATCAATGGTAATTTCCTACCAATGTAAGGCAGTTTTTTAGCCAACTTTATTGTACGGTGATATTTGGACCAAAATAGACATGGAGCGGGATAATATATGAAATCTATATTCACAATTTCCTTCTAATCGTGCCTGACAAACATTCAAGTTTTATTTTTAATTGTTCTCCCCTTTAATTTATTTTGTGCTATTAGATGTGAGGGTCATATCCTTTGATCGGCTCGCTCTTGGCGAATCATTATTTCAGTCTTAACATAAATTACAGATAATACATTATTAAGCGTCAAAAATAGTCACCTGTAATTCAGCTGTTTCCTTTGACTCTTAAAAAGAAGTCTTATTAAGATTTGACACATCAACCAATCACTGCTATAACAAAGAGCATTTCCGCATGTTTCAAACTGCAGTCATAAAGAATTTATTTTATGTAATGAAACTTACAATTGCATGCGACAGTGATCGGGACGGGGCATCCGGTACCCTGACTTCACTTTGGAAACCACTTTCTTGGCACTCATGGTCGGGTATGGGTGGCCACCTGTGAGGAACATTGGAATTAAAAAACCAGCTTTGTAATCTAGTCAATCCCAAGTCAATCCCAAGTCAATCACAAGTCAAATCACAAGTCAGATCACAAGTCAAATCATAATTCATAAGTCAATCACAAGTCAAATTACAAGTCAGATCCCAAGTCAATCACAAGTCAAATCATTATTCACAAGTCAATCACAAGTCAGATCCCAAGTCAATCACAAGTCAAATCACAAGTCAGATCACAAGTCAAATCACAAGTCAAATCATAGTTCACAAGTCAATCACAAGTCAATCACAAGTCAAATCACAAGTCAGATTCCAAGTCAATCACAAGTCAAATCACAAGTCAAATCATAGTTCACAAGTCAATCACAAGTCAATCACAAGTCAAATCACAAGTCAGATCACAAGTCAAATCACAGGTGCAGGTCAGATCACAAGTCAAATCACATGTCAAATCATAATTCTCAAGTCAATCACAAGTCAAATCACAAGTCACATCACAAGTCAACTCACAAATCAAATCACAAGTCAAATCACAAGTCAAATCACAAGTCAAATCACAAGTCAAATCACAAGTCAAATCACAAGTCAAATCACAAGTCAAATCACAAGTCAAATCACAAGTCAAATCGTAAGTTGGTCGCGAGTAACCAAAGATGAACTGTGACAAAGGCACTGTCAAAGTAGACCATGTTACATTTCTTTACAAATTGGATGTTGCGGTCACGTGATTCCAACTTCCAGCAAATGGTTCTCTTCTGCACTGCATGTGTACATGTATCTCTTGAAATGTGATTGATGTTAACGTGGCGACAAACGTGGGCAAAATAACATGCAAAAGATGCTGAAGTGTCTAGGTTGCCTGTCTTGCCCGTTGGTATGATGTCGCAGAAAACATGCTCTACATGTACATTGCTCTGTAGCTTGTGAGGTTGACTTGTGAGGTTGACTGGAAATTGGTTGACATGTGATTGACTTGTGACTGTTGACTGACTCGATTCCAACTCCGCAAAAAAAAATACTTTGAGACTTGACCTATCAAAAAAATTAATAAGATTTCTATCATTTCATTTGAATACCTTCTTTGCAAGACAAGGTTTAAAGCTCACTTTTAGATCATCAAAACCTGCTGATACAAACGTGGATTAATAACATGCCCAGAATCATCTTCATATTAGCCTAACAATGGGAGTGCTTGTAAGGCCAACTGTTTCCCGTGCCACATTCGAATTGAAAGGTTCGGAACCAGTTCCTAGCTTCAAATGTGTGTACAACGTGCAATGGTCCATGACCTTTCCAGAGTTTAAACATGGAGATCACTGGCCATACCGAGAGTAACTATTTCCCACAGCAGAACCCCAAAAGACCACACGTCACTCTCTGTTGTGTACACGTCATCAAGAACAGACTCCAACGCCATCCATCGCAGAGGGGAAAATCCCTGAACGTCAAAAGAAACAAAAATATTACTGATAAAATTGCGTTACAAACGTCCTGATAGAATGCACTGAAAAAAATCAGACGAAAAGCACCAACACGAATCTCAATTACATGACATATTATTACTTTGGAAATAATCCCTGATAATTAATTTGTGTTGAAATTATTGTCGTTGCTGCTTTTGATTATGTGCCTTGTAAGTTGTAGTTGTCGTAGGCCTAGTTCATGTAGTTGGAGAGCTTTTTGAAATACTGGGTTTTTTTTGTTTTACGTGTAGCTTCTTAGGCAATGCTGCAGGTCTGCATGTGATACAATGTACATTTTGTAGTAATGTAGTAATTTGTATTTTCAAATGGTCATGTATTTTGATGTTGCCTGTAATATCAGATACACATCAACAATATCAGTTTAATTAAACAAAAGATTCTTTTCCACTGCAGTGGCAAAGAATCTTTTACACAGTGCTCTGTGTAATAAAACTTGCCCCCTTCAATAATCAGCGCAACCCTAATTTTAACACAAATTTGAATGATTTTTAAATCATAAGGAGAACACATACAATCGAAGTAAAAGATACACAAGAGTGAAAAATCAAGAATGTCAAACAATATGATGCACACGTAAACCATCCCAGTGTTGTCCTGTTGTCTTAAATCAAAACCAAAGTGTTTAAAATATCAAATATTGCCCATTCCCGAATAAGCAAATATCTCACCGTGCTTTTGCGTTGGTATGTTCTCATTTCGGCAACATCGCTGGCGAATCCAAAATCAGATATCTTGCCCACCATATCCTCGCTAACGAGAACGTTGCGAGCGGCAAGGTCTTTATGAAGACACTAATGTGATTCAAACAAAACAAAGTAAACCTGTTAAACATGTACATGTAGCTCACCCAAAAGCTTGCACAAAATTCTTTTGAATTGATTCAGAATGGCCATTTAACCGGAAGTCTCTTCAAACACGTGTCTACTCAATGGGTTGATGTATCCCATTCATTTGCATTAAGAGGTCATCCTACATGATAGCACTGCCCGGCTCCAAGTGACAGTCAGTCTGTCAGGCAATCGGTCAGTCGGCAGTCAGTCGGCAGTCAGTTGGTCAGATAGAAATCAAGATCAATTCCTCATATAAACTCGTCTGTTGACCCGGTATAGGCATCAACTAGATTTCCATGTGATTCTTTAACCCTCCCTTTGCTTAAGAGGTCACCAATGGTCAAAATTGTCTTCCTCACCTCCGGGCCTACTGTGTACAAACCAATGGGGGTCTTGACCAATATTGACCCAAGTAATAAGCAGGCAGACAATGCATGTTACCATAGGAGGGTTAATACTATAAACTAGTCCCAACTATAGTACAGACTGTCCCAACTATACATGCTATAGTATAAACTGTCCCAACTATAGTTTGCACCATTGCTATAGTTGGGACGCAATAGACTCACCCCTTGTGAAGCCAAGTAAGCCATGCCTTCGGCCACGCCCCTGGCCAGACTAAGGAGAGTCTTGGGTGTGAGGGATGCACACACAGCCCCTCGCAGGTTGTCATACACGTGTTCAGATCGGCTATCAGTCAAAATCTCCTTCAGGTTCCCATTCACCACGTGTTCCATGATGACATAGATTGGGTCTGTGCATACGATTGCCAAAATATTAACAGTTGAACAAGTACTGTACACAACTGTTTCGCCAATTAAAGCTATGGGGAGCATACATGTACATGTATATTAACCTCTACTGAATAAGCTACATGTAGTTCCATCTTTGCGTTCACACATCGTTATATCACTGAGCGGTAAACAATTTCACATATATGCCTGAAAAGTCATAACGGTGCCAACATAAGTGCAAACAACTCCTGGACTGCAAAAGGTGTTTCAAAACTTACGGCCTCACGTACAGTCATGTGTGGACTATCCTGTTTTCGTAATGTGTGAATGAAAAAGTATAATTGCATATTGGAGATTCGATTACCACACTGCCAGAGACTTGGGTTCTTTTCCAATGTAGTTGCTGTGTTTACATGTATCACCAAAATAAAAAATCGTCAAATCGTACCAGTTAAGTGCGCCAGCACAGTTTTGATTTTAAGACATTTCCTTAAAAAATATTCAACCCATTTGTTGACAATGCCATTACTAAATCATGTTGTTACTATTTTAAGGGCAACAGTTCAAAATCAACTTTTTGACAAGTGAACCGAATTATCACGCCCGTATTGTTACCTTCGTTGATGCAGTACCCAAGCAGCTTAACGATATTCGCGTGACCACTGAGAGGTTTCATCGAATTCAACTCTCGAATCAGGTTCTCTTTCTCCTTTGGGTCGCTTTCATCTACATAACATAATACATGTGTGTAAAATTTAAGCACATAATACAGTAAACTGTAATCCATATCAATAAAGTTCAGAAATCCATATCAATAAAGTTCAGAGCAACTTCACATCTCAATACTTCCAGGATGAGGAAATGTATTGTACGAAAAGTACACATACATGTAGATGGCACTTTGTGACTCATGAGAGGTCCACTATGCGGGACTTGGTTACCGAGTACAAATATGAGTACTTGTACTTGTACTTGTACACTGTTCTTCGAAGTACAAGTACAGGTCTCTACTGCCATTCGAGTAGTATGAGTACTGCTATTCAAATGCGAGTTCTTTGATGATCGAGTACAATTTTGACATGTCAAGTACGAGTACTTTGCTGCCCAAGGACAAGTTCCGTAGCTTTGAGTTCAAGTACTTTGACATTTGAGTACGAGTACGAGTACTCTAAAAAAAGGACTTGAGAAGTACTCGAGTACAAGTACGGAGTACGAGTACCCGGTAGTACATCACTCGGGGCTATTTGTATACAGCTCGATGTTGGCATTTTGGAGCAAAGAAGCTAATATCAATTACAGTAACCATCTCAGCCCTCACATGTACCCATCGACTCCTGGGTGGCCGTGGGGAGATGAAATGAGTGACAAAGCGCCTTGCTCAAAGGCATACGCACCATAACCCCAGGCTGGACTCGAACCCACAACCTGCAGATCATACTCACAGGCCACGATACCACGGTACTGCATTATACGGTACTGAGTATTGGCATGCCTCTCACCTTTTACAGTTTTGACAGCCACGCGGGTGACGAGGCCTTGCTGCTCGATGCCCACGGCTCTTGCAAGTAGCACCTTTCCGAAGGTGCCCTGAGTGAGTTCTTGAAGGAAGGTCAACTGATCTCGCGAGATTGCTGCGCGGCAATCTGGGATGTCAGCATAGGTAGACTCAACCGGATCACTTTCGACTGCGCGAATGGTTTGCAAAGGGATCCCTGCAAATAAGCATATGAAAAGCCATCTTCAGAAGCATTCCTTGCTATCCAAATAAATAAGTCAGATTGGGGCTGAAATCTCTTTCATGTGACGTGCAATGTACACGTAATGCAAGTACAAGCATCGCGAGTGTCACTAATATTGAGGGTGTCAATTTCATTTTGGGTCAACTGTACCGTTCTGTAGAGTCTACTGCACTTGTAACATCTAAAATGTATCATACTAAGACACTGCAAGTATTGAATCATGCACTTTTGTTTGCCCAGAAACAGCACATACATGTAAATCTCAAAACATCTGAGAAAATGGAAAGCGCATCCCCTATATATATTCACGAAGGGCGTCATTCATCCTAATAAGTACCATAACTTTAAATACTGTTACTTAAAATTAAAACATACATTGTAGCAAGCTTTTGTAGCATTCAGGCCCATCGCCAGCCCTGAGAATTAGGGGGGGGGGGGAGGCCATAGTACCAACTGGGGGGGGGGGGGGGGCCACTACCATAAAAAAATACAAAAATACATATGTATGGCTTTTGCCGTAGGGGGGAGGGCAATTACTCGCCAAGGGGGCCCGGCCCCACTAGGCCCCCCATGGCGACGGGCCTGCAGCAATTGCTTCTTCATTAGATGCAGTCACTGCAGTTACTGATGAAGTAGCTGTTGTATCTAGGAGACTAACACGGATGTTTGCAACTTTCCTAACAAGTACCAGCACGGATGGTTCAGGTAGTTTCTGTTACGTGTTTAATGCAAGGTCATCTAGGAGGATGCTTTACCAGTTCAGATAAGTTTACCAAATTCAATCCTTGTCTACCGTACCTCAATGTACTTCTTAGATTACTCACCCACGTTTTCGTAGCATTCTGCATCTTCAACGACCCGGACTGGCCCTCCAGTCCCAGCTCCACTGCTGTTTACAAGCAATTAAGATGGAGGTGTAAAATGTTTAAAGAATTGGGGCGGGGGTAGAGGGGGGGAGGGTTCAAGCCTTGCCCTACTGATTCTAGACTAAAACTCGTCTAAAAGGGCTACTGGCCCTTTAAGTCACGTTTTGTCGAGCAGCTTAGTACACCAGGTGAAAGTGCAACCGAATATTCAAAACGTAGAATGTCGTTTGGGTAATAATTATTTTGAAGCCAGTGTAGAGGCTGTAAACTAAATATTTTTAGTACTAACTCTCAGGAATACAAAGCTATTTTGACGTGATATCCCAGGTTGGTACATGTATATCATTAAAAAAAAAATACAATCTTTGAATTTTAGAATTGAGGTCACTTTGCTAAAATATTGTTTCAATAAACGTGATAATTGTTTTGTTATAACCAATCAAATTCAATTGTGCGTTCTTTTCTTTAAACTACATGTATATCAAGGCACACACTTGATGAAATAAGGCTTTATTAACTAATTTGAACAAGGCCTTAATTAAAGAAATGTTACGTTAGGTTTTTGTCAACTTATCACTAATGTTCTTACCTTTGTGAAACATTTTGTTGTTCTGTTGAGAAAGTAGAAATTTTGAATAAGTTAAACAACGACACTGTTTAATACGATAGGCAGATCCCACGTTATGTATGCAACTGTTCTTGTAAAACTTTTTATTAATTTTTAGGCCAGATTAGTTTCATTACATATTATGCAACTCATCACTTTTCAAGACAATTTGATAGGAAGATTATCAAAAATGTAACTTCTGGGATGATAAAAATAGACATGTCTGATAACCTCGGTTTGAGAGTTTAAGAGAAAGGCAACGGTCTGCGAAATGTCGAGTTTCTCTCATCAGAAGGGGGAAAATTTTGGGTTGTGCATAAACAAAAGTCTGGAGTCCCCAAGAAAGTTAGTGCATGTGTATTACATGTTAATAAACTACTCTGAGTATTCCTTTTGTCACAAGGCATTATAAAATAAAATCACCATAAAACATGTTTCCATTGTTTTGAAAATGAGCATACCGGTATCTAAGGTTTTCCTTTTCTTTTGGCTGGGCTTCTTTCTTTTACGGTAGTAGCAGCCGACTGTCTGTATCGCGATGCTGATGAGCAAAAGTATTCCCAGTACACTGATGGCAGTTAAAAACGGCCAGCTTGTCGGTGTGCCGATGACTGAGTGAGCAACAGGTGCTAATCAAACAAATATCAGGAGTATCATTTTAGTAATATTCATATGGGTAATTCCACGGTTACTCACGTTACAAATTTTGTTGCAAAAATGTAACGTGAGTAACAGATTTTGTGCATCTTGTTTATCATACATAACACATTTTTCTGGATGTCATCTTTGGTGCTTAGGTAGGTCTAGGTCTACTCTATCTACCATGGGGAAAACAGTTATTAAACCAATTACAGCCCAAGGAAACTCAAAAGTACATCAAAAATGTAACGTGAGTAACCGTGGAATTGCCCACATATTTTCAGTGTATCTTTGACACTTTTTGTTTTGGCCAGACTGAGTATGAAGAGGGGCTGATCTTTTGGGTAAACATTTTGCTTAAGAAATCATTACATGTATATGGAAGCATGTAAATGCCAAGAAACCCACCAAACATGTAGACCCAGTCACCCTTAAAAGTTGACCAAACATAATGACCACACAGTTTATTACATTTGCACTTTCTTGTAGACCTGATGCGTAGCAGGCATCTTGGGGGTTAATGGTTTTGTTTTGCTGTGATATTGATGAACCTTTTGTTAATTGATTGCTACTGACAAGAGAGGCCCTCTAAGATGGCCGCTACATATACTAATATTGGAGCTTGGTGCGCATGGCGTCCTCCAAACCTGGCTTCCCGAACGAATATCAGAGCTTGACGTCATTTTGTTGTCGTGCGTATTGCAAACACAAACATTGTTTTTACGAGACTTACGCAGAGTCTTTCCAAATGTTGTCAAAACATCACTCGCACCGTTGGCGTTTTCAGCATAAACCTCGATCTCATACTCGGTGTCGGGCTGCAGACTGACCACTGTGTACTCGCTGACATCGTAGAGTCTTCCGCTTTGCGTACTCCGGCTGAAGACCGTAGTGGTTTTCAGTTCCCGATGGTTCACGCGGAACCACTGCGGTTCGCCTCCGTCGCTGCCCGGAGACCACGTGACCGTCAGCGATTCAGATGAGAGTTTCTCAGTATGAATGGAGACTGCTCCTGGGGGATGGGGCTTATCTTTTATCAAGCAATAAGTTAAACAAAGGCATAAATCTCTTGTGCCTTTTTTTATGGAAATACACATATTATTAGTTATCCCGCAAGCGTGAGTGGAACACGGAATAATGTAGTGCGTCTGTGTCCTTCGGCCTCGTGGCATGTGGGACACAGACGCACTATATTTTCTGTGTTCCACGAGTGAGAGCGTGAAAATAAGAATTTATCTTCAACCAAACTTGACGCACAATAAAGATGAAACGCATGCTGTACACAAAGTGCTTATCCTATTACACGTGCGTGGTTTGTACAGAATGGCGCTCGCATCTTTGAACAGCGGAATACGCGGAGTACGGTATGAACCGTGGCCGTGCTACATGGTTATATGTAGCACGGCTTGTTGCCATGGATCGACCAATCAGGATCGAGGATTCAAGTTTACTTGAAGATAAATATGCATACATGAATGTCATGCATGCAATCAATGACAACACTTGTAAGCAGGAGGTCCGGGTTCGAGTCTCACATATGCCTGATTAAGCTCTGGTTATAAATTTGGTTATAAATTTCGATATTAAAATCCAATTGAAAACCTATTTGTGTTTTACTCCTAGCGGTTCAAAATTATGGATTTGAGCGAAGGCGCCCTCAATTTCCCGACTGTGGCAGTCTCATTTGTCATTAACACACTCAGCCTTTGAGAGGATCAATATCTTATTTTTATATTTACGTGTAACTGCATTCTCAGAACTGAAAATTCTTTTTGTTTTTATTCCCCCCCCCCCCCCAAATCACGCCAGAAAAGTATGAGCAGTATGTTACTTTTACAATGTAGCAAGCGGTTGTATTGCTTTGAAAACGTTATCTCCCATGCTATGTGCATTAAACAATCTGTGTGTGGCAGGTTCCATGCATTGTTACGAACATTTGTGCGTGATGGTATGTCACAGATGGCATGGATGGTATGTCAGAGTTGTCAGTGCAGCAGATAATGTGTGCGCTAGGCCACGTGTATTGCGAAATAACGTAACTTAATTGGAATATATACATGTAATCTTTACATGCAGCTTGGTTAAGGCATTTGGTATTTCTATCTCCTTTCAGGTCACCGTTCTGTTGTTGTAGGTGTTGGCAAATGGTGGACGGAGTAAATGCCTTGACCTAACCTAGCAAAGAGGTAGGTCAGTTTGGATGATATTTTAAGATACATGTATAGATGAGATGAAAATGATATTTTATTGAAGACCGTTAAACAAAAGCCAGATCTTTGTTTTTTGTTGTCAATAAATTCAGGTTTCAAGGTTTTTTAGTTGTTTTCCATTCCGTGAAAACAAGAAGCCAGTGATATATCATTGAATGCAACTGTTTCTACTGCGATTTGATGGATTCTACAAACCCGGATCAGAGCACATAACGCCCTGCCACTACGGCAGGGCGTTATGTGCTAGACTACTTTCCCTCTTAAACCCCAAAGTAAGCAGCCATAAGATTCACCCTTTTTTCAAGATTGCTTGGTGTTGCTTTCATGTTTTATGAGCAGTTTAGGTAAATACAAGTGCATGCATTACATTGATGCTCAGGTCACTCCGCATGGCAACCTTAGGCTGGTTTACCCACCTTGGATGTATACTCTAACAATACTCCGCCTTGTCAGGGGAGTTATTGAGAATAATGGGAATCGATGACAACTGTAATAAGAACATAATCTACTTAAGACAGGTAGGCATTTGTGATAGCTAGATATTGCAAGTTCTTACAACGCACGATGACATGGATCAGGCTGGAATGCGCCACTGGTAGTACACCGTTGTCTCCGCGGCACCTGTACGTCCCAGCCCGCTCCCTGCTGATGTTGCTTAGCAACAGTGTGCTTGTCCCATTGCTGTAGACGGAGGGTAGGGAGCCAGGAGACCCGACCTTCTCCCACGTGATGAAGTCAGCCGGCTTGGGATTGGCGTCCACAATGCAGGACAAAATGACGTCATCTCCCTCCTCAACATGATTAGACGGGATTACAGATGGCTCGGAAAATTCTGGCCAGTCTGGAACAAAAGAAAACAACACAAATGTCACTATATCCAGTCAGCTATCTCCGTGGATTTATCATAAATGTAATGGTTCCCACCATTCCCTTGTTTTTTTCCCCTTTGTGCCATTACGATCAGGACACCCGCTCATGATAGCACTAGTCATGTAGTACGTCCAGGGGCAGGGGTGAATGTTTATACGTTTGAGGCACTCTGTACCCCCTGCGGAGGATAATTTGAGTGAGAAAGTTTTGTTCTCTTTCAAAGTATGGCAAAGCCATTGCATTGTTCCTGAAGAACATTAGAGTTCCACAGTACCCCTCTGCAAATTGAATTCTTGTCAGGCAACAGATAGTGCATAGTCAATGAGTCAGAAGACAGATGGTTTACATTTTTCGTGACGGTGCATAACTGAACAGTAATTTTCTTTGTGTTCATGTGATACCTATTTGGTGGGAAGGATTTGTTATATTGAAATTGATCCGCTCGAAGTTGTACAACATTGATTTCAATTAATTAGTCTTACATTGGACGTCGATCGGACCCAGCAATCCTGTCAGGTCTTGAGTCCAGGGTCCTCTTCTGGCAGAGCATGTGATCATGTTCCCATTATCTTCTCTGGTTGGCGAGAAGTTTAACGTGCTGCTGAACCGGTAGCGGTTGCCCGATGTTGACATGGCGGTGGTGTGAGTGCCGGCAAGAGTCGGGCCCCCATTTGTCCAAACCAGCTCCCAGTCGTCAGGATATCCGTTGCTGGCCCGGCATGTTAGTTGAACGGTCTCATTTGCAGTCATCAATGGGTGGCCTATTATAACAGGAGTGTCGGGAGGACCTACATTGTACAAATCATGACAAAGGGATACAGACTACCAGAGGAAAAATTGTCCTAGAAAAAATTAGAGTCCTTATCTCAACGTTTTGGTTTGTATGATGTGGTCTTTCCTTTTTTTAAATCCCAAATCAACAAGGTATGGACACTGTTTATCAAACCATTTTCCAATCTTTCGGACAAATATCAGGGACACTCTTCACTTGTAAATTAGGCCATAGCATACCAAGAGCACATCAGTCCATTTAGGTAAACAGGCGCACTACCTAACCATTAGTCCATGGGCAAGCCATTTTACTCTGAGCTGCCCTCAGCGATTGTGACAAAATGCCAACTACTACCAGGATGCCCATTCTGACCTTCAATTATTTCGAACAAGCACACACACACACGCAAGCACGTTTGTTTATGGTGTAAATCAAGGATTTGCTTTTGTTTCTCTTCCCTTTTCCTTTGTACTATAACTTTTTCGCAACAGCTCTCATTGGTTTTGTACACGTTTTCCTACCGAGGAGTCCTCGATTCGGTTTCTGACCTCGATTCACCGATGATGTTGCACGTGTGTCCTCGATTTACACCATAAACAAACGCCAGTGTCTTTTTGCCTGCAATCAGGGACCCCCTATTGTCCCTCTTTTGTCTGTACTCGTAACTTTTTAGGAAGACCTCCCATATGTTTTGTACATGAATCCAAATTGCGGACCTCTAAGGAATTCGGGACCCTATTGTCCTCTAGTGTTCAACATCCCCTATTGAATGAAGAAACAAACTCATACACCCATCTTTGTAAACACCGCCAATCATGGCCCCCCCTATTGTTCCTTAACCTCGTTCCTTGTTTTTACCAACTTTTTAGCAACAGCTCTTATTGGTTTTGTACACGAATTCTAATCGTTCACTTTCGGTCAATTGTGGACGTACATTGTATTGTTTGTGCCCTAACCCCTTTGCCCTACATGTGGGTCCACGATTGCCGGTGTTTCCATACTCACACAGAATCCCTACCTGTAACATCCACTGTGACCATCGCAAACGGTAGAGGGAGCTGCGACTCCGCCGTTCTCGCGACACACTTCACCCTGTGCCCATGATTGGATCTGCTCGGAATGAATGTCCAGCTGCTCGTGGTGTCCACCAAACCATTGATTTCTCCAGAAGCAGGGTCATCAGTTCTTTGAAGAGCGTCATTCAGAAACCATTGTATGGTAGCAGCTGGCCTTGTCTGGCGCACAGTGCACAACAAAGAGTGGCGCGCCCCCTCCATGACGCTTGCTCTTCCACTTGTCACGTTCCCACCGGAATCGTAAAGGGATAAACTGGATTCCTTTGGAGGAACTGAAAGGAGGAAAACCAAAAAAAAGGAAATGGAAGATCCTCTTCCCCCCCCCCCCCCATACCCTGTTCGGATAACATAACAAGGCAACCCTATTAAGCTGGTCCAAGTGGACAGAAATGTCTACACCACTGAATCACGTTGGCTATTCACTGGAAGCTGACAGGGATGTAGCCGAGCCCATCCCAAGTTCCTGCAAGTCAATCGCAAGTCTACCAAAAGTCACCCAGCTCCCAACTCGACTCAGAAGCTTTCAAATGAGCTGTGACAAAGGCATACATTTGCTATTGTCCATCCCCTTTGTGTTTGTGTGTGTGTGTGTGAGGAGACTTGTGAATGACTTGTGGTTTACTTGTGCTGGACATGTGATGTACCAATGATGGGCTCGACGTAAAAGCAGGATTCAGCCGGGAGGTAATCCTATATCACTGCCCGGCACGCATGCGACTTTTAAGTGGGCCAGTCGGAAAATTGGATGGTTAGATAGGTACAGAGGACCCCTCGGAACAGCAAATGAAAAGAGGAAGATTCTTACATCGGACGTCGAATGGACCCAGGGATCCTGTCAGTTCTTGAGATCCTCTTCTGGCAGAGCATGTGATCATGTTCCCAATATCTTCTACGGTCGGCGTGAAGTTTAGGGTGCTGCTGAACCTGTAACGGTTGCCTGATGTTGACACGGCGGTGGTGTGAGTGCCGGTAAGAGGTAAACCCCCATTGGACCAAACCAGCTCCCAGTCGTCAGGATATCCGTTGATGGCTCGGCATGTTAGTTGAACAGCCTCATTTGCAGTCACCGATGGGTTGCCTGTTATAACAGGAGTGTCCGGCGGACCTGAAATCATGAAAAAGGGATACAACACCCAATACCAGAGACCCAATCATCCAAGAGGAGTCCCTACCTTGACGTTTCTGTTTGAATGCTGTGGTCTTCCCCATTTCTTTTTAATCCCAAATCAACCAAGGCATGGACACAATATACCAAATCATTTTCCAACCCTTAGGGCAAAATCAGGGACGAACTTCACTTGTTAATTGTATCATGGCATATTAAGATCGCCTTAGTTCATGTGGGTAAACAGGCGTACTACCTACATTGTAACTGATAAATAGTACTTGGGCAAGCAATTTTACTCTGAGCTTCCCTCTGTGATTGTGACAAAATGCTGACCAGTAGCAGCATGCCAATTCTGACCTACTTCAATTAACTGGAACTCACACACACACCCACGCATTCTTGTTCCGTTACTGGAGGGACTACACGTGTTTTCCCATGCTGTAATTGGGACTTAAGACGCTAAGGGGACAACAGAAAGGTGGATTAACTCGGTCCTAATTTTCCTAACAGCAAAAAACTTCCCCATAAGGCAGTGATCTTTATGACGGCCCACCCACTTGCCATACGTGGACACCTACCTGTCACATCCACTGTGACCATCGCAAAAGGCATTGGGAGCTGCGACTCCGCCGTTCTCGCCACACACTTCACCCCCTGCCCGTGATTGGCTCTGCTTGGGACGAACGTCCAGCTGCTCGTGGTGTCCACCAAACCATCACTTTCTTCAGAGGGAGGATCGACAGTTCTTTGCAAAGCATCATTTAGGAACCATTGTATGGTAGCGTTTTGCCATGTCTGGCGTACCATGCACAAGAAGGAGTGGGACGCCCCCTCCACAACACTTGTCCTCCCACATGTTACGTTCCCACCGGAATCATACAGAGACAAACTGGATTCTGCAAGTGGTACTGCAAAGGGGTATGAAATTTATTCAAATCACACGAAATTTGTGAATTCGAATAGTTAGTACATGCTAGAACAGTAGATTTCGCCATGTGGTGTACCCACAACAGAAAGTAAACCAGAAAGCGGGCGTGCGTGAACCATTGATGACAATTAAGCACAATAAACACAGGGAAACAAAGGACTAGACTGGACAGTGCTTTGAACTAGGACGTTGATTTATAACATACATGTATACATGTACCTTTTACACATCTTGAAAGGCAAGATGAGCACAACAGTTCAAATAGAAGAGATTTACTGAAAACCTGTTACCTTGCACATCAACAGTAACGAATATGTTCACAACGGGATGTATCCCTGCAACAAATGCCATACACTGCAGTAGCTCCCCGTGGTTGCTCCCAGAAATAGGTATCGTTACAGTACTGGTGCTCGTGGTGAAACCGTCGCTATCTGTGAGATTGTTGCTACTGTCTGGAGAAAGCTCGAGTCCCCCTAGCGTCCACATGAGCGAGACGGGTGTTCTAATATCAGGTACTCTGCAAGTGAATCGAGTGCAGTCTCGTCCAGACGCATAAACTGTGTCTCCCATGGAAAAATTGTGTCCAAACCAGTCAAATAATATGATAGATGTCTTGGCCACTGAAAAGAAAAACAAAAAATTATTAAAAAGATGTAGGCAAAATTGGACATCTCGTCTAGACGCATGACTAGCTCTCACAATGAATTTTTTTTGGGGTTAAAACTCTTCTCCCGTGGAACGAGGAGGGGAGTGCAGGCTTTCCTGATAACCATTTGTTACAGGGTTTCTGAACCACCTTTTTGCAACCTGTCCTTGATTTCATGAGGAGTTTTATGATTTCACTACAAGATAAATTTGCTTATAATTTATGTGGCGACCACCAAAAATATATATTTTAAAAGTCGTACCACAATAATACTTTCCTATAAAAGTGAAAAGTTATATTTTATGTTCAGTGTTCACAACTGGCGTAAAACATAACAATGAGGACATTTTTATAAAGGTTACCTTGGTATGTCAAGTCATCGATGGCGATATCTGACAAGCGACCGTTGACACGAATTGCTTCAAATGCTATGAGAAAGCTTGAAGATAAATTCGTGACACAAATCTCAGCCTCCAGCCAGGTTGTTCCATTCGTTTGCTCACCGCTTCTTGAAAAGAGAACTTCACCTCCGGTGACTGATCCGCCAACAGGCACACGAGACACATTTAGAGTACCTAAATGGTATAAATCATTTAAAAGCCTTTAAAAGGTATAGGTCGATATTTAAATATCAAAATAACTATTTTCAAACCTCAAAATTAGGCCTAAATAAAGGAATGTAAAGATCACGCAATGGCATATGTAATATTTGAAATGCTGCTCTGTGCTCAATTAACTTAACATGTTTATTTTATTTGTTTTTTTAATAGTTTCTTTTAAATAATACTTTTAATACAATATAAATACTTATTATAACAAGAATTTATTTTGTTTTTAAAACGTCAGCTTGAATGAGCCACAGAATAAATTTCATGTGAAGAGAAATCTTGAAATGTAGAAGTACTTTTGGGTAAATTAGAAAAAATAAAAACAGTTTTCATTTTTTTCTAATTTACGCGCTTTTTCATGACAACCGTTGTTGTTGTTGCGATGATATCACTCGCTGTCAAGTGGGCTTGTGCCTTAAATGACATTACAATTTGTTTATGTCTGCATTAAATTACGTACCCATATTGCTTCCGTACATGTTGTACCAGAAACTGAAACACCACGCGTGGTTACCGATCTGTTCTTTGCTTGGAACAACTGCAGGGCTGATAAGCACAGCGTTGGTGCCGTCAGACGAGTAGTATGGATGAAAGCTGGCATAACGGCCTCTGTAATCTGGCCAATATTAGTTGTGATAAATCGATAAAATATCATCAGAGGAAGCTTTGGTAATAAGAAGTTAAGAATGGACTTCAACGTTTATCAGGGATATTCAAAACCATCCACATACCTCCTACAGTCTTGTCATAATCGGGACCAGTAGAAGAAGGATATGTCGAGCCTGCCTGGAGTGTCCAGTCTGTACGGTCTTGTTTTGACTGCTTCCAACCACACCACCCTTCTTCAAAGGTACAGTTGAGACCTACTGTCGCTACAATAAAGAGCACATAATCTCCAAATCAACGTGAATGCGACCATCTGGTTATGATGAGTTTGTAATACGGCACTAATACCCAGTATGATTTGTATATTTCAATTATGGGAATATACGTGTACATTTTGTACTTACAATTGACAACCACTCTGACTACAAGAGATGCCTGAGCGTCGAATGGCTCCTCGATACTTGCCACACACCGCAGCTCCAGTCCATTGCTTTCTGAGGTAGGAGTTAATGCCCAACTGTCTCTTGTGGTGACCAAATCATCGCTTCCTGTAAAAGTAGGTCTATGTGTATCTCTCCTGATGTCACCAAGATACCACTCAATTTTGGTTTCAGGCCACGTATCCTTTGTCTCACAAGTAAAGGTGTATGCTATACCAGTCGCAACGTTCACTGTGCCACCAGGTCTAAGTCTGTTTCCACTGGCACCAGTCAGGGACATTAATGATGACTTTGGTTTCACTATAAAAGAGAAGCATACATCACATTCATTTTAAGACGTGTATAGATCAATGAAGTGCCTGAAATCGCCTTACCAATTACTCATAAAAGCCATGTAAGAGAATGTAATGTAGGTCCTATTGGGTTTAACTTATGGGTCATTCCATGTCAGACCAACGCACTTCATTACCTCATGTCTTCCGATTTTGATAAAAATTGCTGTGCTTGTTGGTCCTAATGAGCAATGAATACACACCAATTTTTAGCCCGATCCGACCTATTATGTGGTCAGGGCAGAAGCCACAACAAAATGGCATTTTTAGAGTAAAATACCACCCTTTTGGTATAAATATGTCAAAACTATGGCAATTTTCATAGAATATATGTGAATTTGTTATTAAAATAATGAGGATTGCATGCTCAAAGCACTTCTTTTGTCAAAATTAAATTTTGTGAAAAGTAGGTCACATGACCTTTAATATGCTATCGTGACCTTTGACCCATTTTTTGTAATAATGTATCATTCCGAAAATCAACGAAATAAAAATAACTTGCTAGAGCATGTCTTCCTCTATCAGAATGTACTAAAAATCAGTTGGGGTCTTCAAAATTTACAACTTTATGACTACTTTTGTACAGTTGGTAGGTTACAAATGAGTCAGTTTATAGACTTTACATAAGAAATACACCAACACAACTTACTATTCTGTTTCTAAAGTTACTAAAATATATCTTGGTTTGTGAATTTCTCATTCTGAGGGCTGATGAGGTCTAACCAGACTCATAGTGTAAATTATCAGCAGTGGCGCACCCAGGATTTGGCTTTTGGTGGGGGGGGGGGGCATAAATCGTTTTTTTTTCAAATTTCTGTAAAAGATTGGACCAACAAAAACTTGACAATGTTGGGGGTGGGTTCAAGCCCCCCCCCCCCCCCCCCGGGTGCCACTGATAATTAGTTTTCCCACGAGTGCGCTTGGAATATGAAATAATGCAATGCTGCTGTGACCCATATGCCACTCAATGCACTACATAATTCCGTGTTCCACGAGTGCAAGTGGGATTTATAACCAATTTATCTTCAAGCAAACTTGATATCAAATGCGTACACGCGGTGAAGATGTATGTGCATACATGTAGTGTATTGGTCCGTTCTGCAGGTAATAACACAACATATGTACACGTACATTTTTAATATCTGGGGTGCAATATAGCTGTGCAATATTATATCAAATCACACAGTTTTTGCTATAGATGGACTAATCAGGGTCTAGGATTCAAGTTTGCTTGAAGATAATACTTAATATTACAATCAAAGTTACCTTTACTCATTTATCACTGTGCTTCTTGAACTTTAATTACTCTCACAGACTTGGCATTTTGCTCGTTTGAGATGAATTTCACCTGGACATGAGTCCGCTGTACTGGGTGAAGGCCTGGTTACTGTTAGTGGTTAGCACACTTCCGAGTCCAGATATTCTGATTAGACAGTTTCTTTGGAATCAGAAGGTAGAATTTTGTTTTTCCTGGCTTTGTACTTTATACATACAAATCTAGATTAATTTTAGTGGTGTATTTCTTATGTAAAGTCTATAAATTGACTCATTTGTAACCTACCAACTGTACAAAAGTAGTCATAAAGTTGTAAATTTTGAAGACCCCAACTGATTTTTAGTACATTCTGATAGAGGAAGAAATGCTCTAGCAAGTTATTTTTATTTCGTTGATTTTCGGAATGATACATTATTACAAAAATTGGGTCAAAGGTCACGATAGCATATTAAAGGTCACGTGACCTACTTTTCACAAAATTTAATTTTGACAAAAGAAGTGATTTGAGCATGCAATCCTCATTATTTTAATACCAAATTTACATATATTCAATGAAAATTGCCATAGTTTTGACATATTTATATCAAAAGGGTGGTATTTTACTCTAAAAATGCCATTTTTTTGTGGCTTCTGCCCTGACCACATGGTAGGTCGGATCGGGCTAAATATTGGTGTGTATTCATTGCTCATTAGGACCTACAAGCACAGCAATTTTTATTAAAATCGAAAGACATGAGGTAAAAAAGTGCGTTGGTCTGACATGGAATGACCCTTATACGTAAAATACGTATTTCAAATTGCATCTCACCCTTTACAGCGATTGTTACAGTCATACTGTCGATCAGCTCACCGTCTGTGTCGAACGCTTTACATTGTAGTGTCTGTCCGTGGATCTCTCTGTTAGGCGACACAACAACACTGCTGCTAACGCTCAATCCGTCGATGGTGTCGACGCTTCTGTTACTGGCTTGTTTTATTCGCCGACCAGCCAAGGTCCAGACAAGTTCTACTTCGTGGTTTATGTCTAGTACCATGCATGTGAATGCATGATCTTCTCCTTCCAAAAGGACTGATATTCCAGCATCAGAAGGAAAGTCTTCAGTTGAATCGAAGAGGACCATTTGAGGAATGACTGTGGGGAAGGAAGTACCCAGTGAAAGAACCGTGCAAGAACAACAAAAAAACGGGGAAGTTAATAAACAGAAATTAAGTGTACTTCTGAATTACTTTTATTATCAAATGATCAAATTAAATCATAGAGGTTAACTCAATTATGACTAAGTTCAAGTATGACTCGGTTCAACAATGCCACTGTGGAAGTTGGGGGAAGGGTTTCGGAATTTTGGCATAATTTACAGATCCGGGGTAGCGGCAATTTGTTGTACTTTTGAATAAAAAGAAAATCCTACCAGTATTAATGTCATCGATCGCAATGACTGAGCTACCGCCGCCACGAACTGCCTCAAGGGTAACTTCAAATTCTGAAGTAACATTTCTCACACAACTCCTTCCTTTTAACCAAACTGTTCTCTTCATATATTGACCGTTTCTCGTAAAGATGATTTCACCCTCACTGTTTGTCTGATTTACTGGAAGCTGGTACACATTGAGAATCCCTGTGAAAACAATATAACAATAAACCAATAAAACACAAATAGACTCCAGACCCCTCCCCCCCCCCCCCCAGCGAAGGGGGGGGGGGATAGTTACCCGACTTACCCTAAATTCTGCTCTACTTACATGTATAACTGAACAAGCTCACATTATTTGCGACGGTGCCCAGCCGGTACATTGCAACCATTTAATCCCATTGCATTTGGCTTACAGTCTACTTTGGTATGATTTTATATGCCTGATCTTACACAATTTATCTTTCTAATATTCCTTGCTGTCCTAGGAAGTTGTTTTTTGGGGTTTTTTTTTTTTTTGCGTTTTCATGCTCTATTCATAGAAATGGACCCAGAACGTGGATAGCAATCTAACCAGAATTTCTTAAACAAAAGATCATCGGAATTTGGTGCTGATTCTACTTTTTGGAACGTTTTATCAATTTGTCTACATTGTTTTGTTTCACCAAAAAGGTATTTATGAATGGCAATAAATATGTGTTTGGCTGGTTTTAAACATGAATGTTTAATACCGGTTTGGAGTCTAGAGGCTGATAATGACCATCGCCTTCAGCACGGTCATCATGAGCATTTTAAAAAGAGCCTCGCCTTCCTAAACATAATAGTTTAGAATCCTTACCCATCTGCCTTCCAAACATGTACCAGAAACTGAAACACCAGGTGTTGTATGGCTGTTCTCTACTTGGCGAAACGACAGGGCTGACAAGTATAGCGTTAGTGCTTCCATATCTGGACGTTTCATAATAGATGTAAAGGTCACTTGCATCTGAACAGAGTGAAGTTTACAGAGGTAAGGAAGAAGAGGAAAAGATGAAATTTTACGTTAAGGATGTAATTATGTATCGTTTCGGTTTGCGGTAACACCATGTGGTAATAACTACTGCTTAGAAGATATTAGTTCTGAGAAGAACTTGTCCTGCTTATTATCAACTTTGCTAAGTAGTTTTTTGTTCTGTTTAGAACAGTCCTGCTGTAAGTTCTTAAAGAACTTGTCTTTGGTCTCAACGTTTCGACTAGCCTGCTCTAGTCATCGTCAGGAGACTAGAGATGACGATGACTAGAGCAGGCTAGTCGAAACGTTGAGACCAAAGACAAGTTCTTTTAGAACTTACAGCAGGACTGTTCTAAACAGAACAAAAAACTACTTAGCAAAGTTGATAATAAGCAGGACAAGTTCTTCTCAGAACTAATATCTTCTAAGCAGTAGTTATTACCACATGGTGTTACCGCAAACCGAAACGATACCGATACCCCACCATGCAAAGCCTCAAATCTTATATAGATGTAATTATGTTTTCATCAAACTTATCCAGTGATGTTAGTTTGTTTCTTAACTCTTACTTTTTTTTATGCAGCTTCAGTTTGTAGAGTCAAGGTCAACATGAGTCCAAACAATAGTCTAGCTTCTATCATTGATTCTCGCCCAGATTTTGAAACCAAATCAAAATTGTAAATGAAAGCACATTCGGCTTAAGACCCGAAACCGCACCGATTTAAAATTATTGCCTTATCCAGAAAATAATACTAACTGCCTAACGTCCTGTCGAAATGTGGTCCGGTATTATAGGAAGGAGTTTGTCCATTGCGCAGGAACCAGTTGGAACTGTCCTCGTCGGATTGTCTCCAACCACAAAACCCTCTTTCAAAGGTGCAGTTGAAGTCTGCGCTTGCTGTAACAAGTAAATACAAAACCGGCTGACAATCTGTGTAAACCAGTTAAAATGTCCACTGATTTCAACAGGTTTCCGTTGAGGAGAATACACGAGAAAGTGTGGATTCGTAATTTAAGAATTCACGAGGCGCGAAGCGCCGAGTGAATTCGTAAATTAAGAATCCACACTTGCGAGTGTATTCTTTGACTTAAACCATTGCGTCAAAAGAAGTATTGGCATTAACAGTGAGTGGAGATGAAAGACTTGGGATAAATGTTGCAACCTGACGCCACTTCTGCGATTGTGTACAAAGTCTATGGAGAGTTAAGAATTTTTTTTAAAGTATTTCCTAACAAAATTAGAAATACTTCTCTGTCCCAGATTCATGTCTTATCATCATTTTTGCGATGAATGCCCTTCATTGAGATGATATATAGAGGGAAAAAGTGGCGTCAGGTTGCAACATTTGTCCCGGCTCCTTCCGTTGACAAATTGATAGTTCAGACGATGATTTCTTTCTGACTCGAAGTAGGTTTTGCAGTGACGGCGAAGAATCTGACAGGGAAAATGCATTGATAATTTCGGAAGGAAATTTTCACGCAGACGGTCCTATTAATGCTCATTATAGAGAACAATTGTCTGACGTGTTTAAAGTGTGGATTCGTAATTCCGAATGCACACTTAACTAAAGATTCTTCGTTCCGAATCCACACTTTGTGACCAGCGTAACAGATTCGTAGTTCCGAATCCACAATTTTAACAATAGTGTGACGTCATAGCAATGGTTTAAACTGGAAATAGCTGGTCTCTAAATAATACAATTTGGGTTCAGAACTCATCAACAGCCATCATCCACCAGGCTGTTTGGGCAGTTTGTTGAAAAAGCTAGTCCCATATACAAGTGACATCATGAAGATGTCTTATTAATCAAGTGACCTCATTGTAAAAAGGTGCCTTTTGATATTATACATGTAGCACATACATGTTATATTGCATTATAGCACATTATTGTTACACTCTAAACACCAGATTGGTTAACATTTCCAATCATTGGTTGAAATAACCAACAATTGTTTAATACGCGTCCGACCATCAGAATGGTTGGACACATATTAGACAATTGTTTTGTGTTTATGGATGCTGGAAAAACCAAGAAAACAATTTTTTTCTTGTAGCTCATTCTTTTAGCCTAAATAATACTTCAGACTAACAGAAACAATTGTCAGGTCAGGGAACTAGACTAGTTGGCTTGCAGCTGTTCACAGATGTTGACAGATTGCAAACACAATGTAGACTAACCAAAATTTGGTAAATTGGAGGCAGTATTTGAAGGAAAAAGGGCAGGTTTTCTTCCCATCCTTGGAAATTGATTAAAATAAATTCCACTTTCTGGAAAAAGACAGCACACAAAGTGCCATGATTTCACAGGAGGCCTGGGACAATGATTCACTTACAGTCAAGCAAGGTATTCAATAATAATTTGGTAGTTGCATCATGACGATGTTGCCATGTTACATTGCATTAAATAAGAATTGTATGAAGCCCTTCATCTGTTTAATCACAAGTTGAAATTTGATATTTACATAGCTGGGGGCGTGTTACAAAGTTGAAATCTGAAGTAACAAAAAGTGAGATGACGTCGTGATTGACGCATCGGTTGTCATATAGCCTCATATTTAATGTAGCCTACATTATTTGAAGCCTTTATTTTAATTTAAAAGAAAAAGAATCAACACTCCAATTGAAACATGTATATTTGTTCGTATAAAGTAGCTTGTTGATTGTTATTTGCACTTTTTGACTGACCTGTGTACTATGATAAACTTATAAGTAAATTACTCAAGGGGTCGAAAACACTTATAGAACCACAAATATTGCATACCAAAATAATGGCATACAAAGTCAGAAAACCCTTTCATGTGTCCTTTGTATTTAAGAAGATTTAAAACTGTAATTACCATTAGGCGGCATGCTGATAACCCATAGGCTAAATCCATCCTTTGGGACAATTTCATCACTTGTGAACCTCAGCCACATTGCAGATCCATCGGAGAGTGCATCAGGACCATCGTTCCCCGTGGACTCAAATAACACAGTTGAAAGGTCGGAGCTATTGGTGCCGTCACCACCCTTCAATCTGTCATATCCACTCTCAGTGTCAAAAGTGGAGGTAATTAATTGAATCCGCCAACCTTCAACTGTCTGGATAATCCAGCCGATGTCCAAGCCATTGGCATATCTGTTTGGGTAGGAAGGTGACGTTATTTGTGCCGTCTCGTACGGCCCTAAAAATAAGCTGGTCGTTGTGGAGGATCCATTCGTACCTGAACAAATTATGGAAGAAAGAGCACTTCCTTGTGAAGCCCTTCATTTATATATAAATGAGTTAAAACAAATTATGATACAGGAATGGAACCACAGGAATTATTATTAAGAAAGGGATGTCTTTTCGAAATGCGTTCATTATTATTTTACTGGCATAGTGAATGAGTTGTGATTGACATGTGGTTGATTTTAATAAAACCATGCGTGCAATTAAGGATTAAAGAGCCTACATGTATATGCCTGGCAAAAACATAGGGGTAGAGATAGTGAAACCATGAACTACAGTATTTGAAGTAAATTCCCTCACATTTTAGTTTGAAATGCTGTAAAAAAAAAAGGAAAAAAAACCCGGAAACCCATGTTAAGTGCAAATTGTTCAAGAGTGAATGAATTAACTCTATATAAATCGTCTGGACCATAGTATCAGTTGGTGGGAGTTAATCTTCTTTTGAATGTTGAGTGAATTTTTCCCTCTTCGGAAATAATACTCAAGGAATTGCTCGTAACTGATGACGT